TGTATAAAAGCAGTTAATATGAGAGTTGTCCTGAGGTCCCTGTGAGGGAAAGATTGGGTTCTGTGTAGTAAAAGAGTTAAGCAGTTTGTTCGTTTTAAGGTCTGAGAGAGAGAAGTCTTGTGTGTGTTATGAAAAGTTAAAGCATAAAGAAACAGTAACCATATATGGCCTAAGGAAAATATTGTTACAAAGTGACATGCCCTGATCCCTGTCAATAAGAGGGAAGAGTGTGTGAACATCAAATAAATCTACTTTTATTTAAGACACAAGTTCTGAACGAAATTCTTCCCAGGAAACACATAGTCCTTCGAAAGCCCAAACCCTGGGTCACAATACCAAAACCAGTAGGAAAAATATTATAGAAAAAGGTCGGGAAAGCCTAAATTTCCCTGGTGGCAGCCAGATTACCCTGAGAGCAAACATAAAGAACATTTTAATGTAAAACTAGACCTCCCCAAATAAGAGGTCGTCACAGCCACATTTGCTCTACTCTCCATATGGGAATCCCACCACCCTTCACTATCCCAGAATACTTTTCTAACTTCACAGTTCCAAAATACAGCTGAGCAATTACGCTCACAAGATGAAATGTGCTACCGTCTGCAATCTCTGCAAGATTGAATGCATTACCATCTACTGTTAGGTATACCATTTTCGATAGATAATGCAGTTGTGTCTTAGGGACCATAGAAACTCTGAAGCATGTTCTATTTAAATGTCTGTAGTATAAGGAGGCTAGAGAGAAATGGATCAGACCACTTATGTGCTAGCAAAAGAAGCTTCCTTCCCCTAGATATTTTAGTTAATGAATTTGTAATAGGTTCTAGGCCAGCAAATATTCTTTTCTTAGCTAAATTCCTTGCCAAGAGAGTTCAAGTAGCCTGTGACAAGAAGACATCTTCTCTAATATGGTATATAGTCTGTCCTCTCCGGCTTGAATGCTTCCTTTTATTCCTAGATGGTTGGTACTACTCAGTATCTGGAGGTCAGAGGAGCAGAGGAAGAAAAAAAAGAAAGGGAATGGAAACTGAAAACCAAAATAAACAGCAAAGAAAAGGCTATTTTTTTTACTAAAAAAAACAACTTTAGGCATTTTTTCTGGTTTATTTACAACATATGGCAATAACTTTTTTTAAAAGTTGATCAACGAATCCTCTGCCAGGAAAGTAATGCTGTGTGATCTGCCCTTTTTCAAAGAGGAGTACAAAGTGGTTGTGATTTTGGATGAAGGAGGCCATGGACGTTCACAGCACCTCGTCCTCCTTGACTGGCGTCAGGACAGCAGGCGGGGTCCCCTGGGCTGTGTTCTGAAAAATCACTACAGTCTGCAAAAAAAGAAGAGAGGCTTCCCTCAACACAACAGATGAGGCCAGGTTTGTAGCCGCTCAGCTCTTTGGACCTTGCTATTATGCTATCTAGAGAAGGGGTCCCCAACATGGTGCCCTTGTCCACCAACACCTTTCTTAGTACTTGCCAAGTATTTTAGAAAGTGGGCAGAGCCAGGTGGGCTTCTGATTGGCAGGTCAAGATATCTGGCTACATGCCTGCTTTGCTCCACAATGGGTCGTTGGGTGGGGTCATGCTGGATCCAGATCCCAACTCTCAGTAGAATACTATTTTGAACACTATGTCCCCTGTGACAGAACAATCTCCCTTCCCAGACACCCACTCCTGTTTTCATCGCATAAACCTGACTTCCCCATCAGGCCCATAGTCACAGTGGGGCATTTAGGGGCAGTGCCCCCTCACTCACACCCCACGCCCCACAACAATCACTGCCCCTGCCCTTACCTGCTGGTCACACTTGTTTGCCTCAGCCACTACAGGAGGAGAGCTGACTGGCCGGTGTGATTAAGACTTGGTGACTATCCACTCTCTGCTGCAGTAGTGGATGGGTGAGGCCTGCTGCTACTGTAGCACAGAGCGCATAATTCCTGTGTATCAATCGCACCGGCCTGCTGGCTCTCTCTCTCCTGTAGTGGCAGAGGCGAACAAGTGTGACTTGCAGGTAAGGAAAGACCCTCTTTTCTTCACCTGCATGCTGAAGGGATCTCCCCCCCCACCCCTCCCAGATTTCCCAATGCCCCACCAACTAAAATCTTCTGGCTATGCCCATTCCCCATCCAGGCAACTACCGTTTCACTGTAGGTATTCCGACACAAACTGGCACATCCAAAGGCAGCAGTGATGATGGTGATGAGGAACTCCAGGACTGTCAACGTCAGGAGAACTGCAGCCATGTAGCGCATTTGATTCTACCAGAGAAGCACAATGACCTCTTCATTGCATGCTATGTATAACAACACCGAATGTAAATAGTACTGCTATGAACGTTTAAATAAACTTCATAACACATTGCATTCATTTATATCTTCTTTATCATACGTTCTTTGAAATAATCTTCCCAAAGTCTACAAATCACATTGGGGAATATTTAACATAAATTTAAAGGTGCCGTTCACACATAATAGCAACGAGAATTTAATTACAAAGCACATAGAAGTATCGATGCCAGCACTTAAAACTTTCAAAAGAGGAAACACTTGTTCCCAAAGAATCCTGTGTTGTTATTCTAAGCAATCTTAGAATGGGTTCTGTTGGGTCTTCTCTGATATGTATACAGTATGTTGTGTCATGCAACAAAGTTCTTACCAGGGCCCTTCATAACCTAAGTAAGGACTGCTGAATTATCATAAAAGATCTGTTCTGGAGCATTTTTTAATATAGGGACATTAACCAGAAGACTTAAGGTTTTGGGTAAGTTTTTTCCACATCCCTATAATTGGGTTGATGCAAACATTTTATTAAAAAACAGGAAGCACAATGGATATTCCAGCTGCACACCTATGCATCGCACCTTGTGGTCGCAACCAAAAGCTTGATTAGTTGCCTTTCATTTAAAGTTAGGTTTGAGCTGTGTAGTACTTTGTAGTTTTAATTGCTAGTTTGTGTAACAACTCACTGAGATTGACCATTCCAGATGTACAGGGTTTATTGTATATGCCTGGTTGTAAACAGTCTGTAAGAGCTTTCTATCGGCTAAATGGTTAATAGGCTAAGGGTGATTGCTTGCATAAGAACACCTATGTAGAATAGACAGCTTGAGAAGACTCAGAAGCTTTGCAGAAGCTTCTATGATTTGATTTTTAAAGGCTTGATTCTGCAGTAGCCAAGTCATAATCCTCAGAATTCTGGCTTTTCTTTCTGCACTGAGAACTTCAGCCCCATGCGCCCGCCCCCTGGGGCTCTTTACTGCCGGAGCTCCACTCTTGTGCACTCCTGCAGGAAATGACCCCTGTATGTAGATATACATTTTAGATATTTAAACCCTATTTTAGCCAATATGACGGACCTTCCTAATGCTTTAAAAGTGCACTGTCTTCTGAATGAAATATCAGTGAGGGTAGCCAAGTTTTTATAATCAACTATAAAGTTACGTCAGGAAAAACTATCAAAATGAGCAACACTTTGTAACAAATTGTTTTATGTAACATTATGCAATATTATGTAGTTTGCAAAATACTTGGTTTTATATGTATGGTTTTATATGTATATTTTTATAGTAATCCTCTTTTAAGGTATTGTTTTATGCCAATAAAGGCTAACTGACTGACCGATTGCAATTATTTTTTGCATTTTTAAAAAAAACCTATTTATTTTTTGGCCCGGAAAAAAGAAAACGAGACTGAAGCTTCCCTGACGATGACCAGGGTCATTATGGAAAACCCTACATGCATCTTAAAAATTTAAAATGTATTTTCAAATTTTTAAAAGAATTTTCTATAAAAAATGTTATCTGCGGGGGTGGCACTCATCCATGGGGGTGGTGCCCCCCAATCCCCCCCCCCCGGCTACAGGTCTGTTCATAGCAGTACTGCTTACATTCAGTGATTATCTTTTCAATAATATCATTCTGATACACACCAAAGTTCCCCTTTCTGTTTTGTACTGTATACAAAGTTCCCCTTTCAGTTTTGTACTGTTTGTGTCGGAACTGTCACAAGACAGGGGGTAAGCTCCAGTGCATGGTATGGAAGCTGCACCCAGTCCCAACTGGGAGGAGCCCCATTCTTAAGAGCTCAGGTGAAACACGGCAGGTCCCACAGGCAGTCTTAGGCACTATGCCCCTAGCCCACCTTCATTACTTTTGTTCCATAAAGGTAAAGGTTTCCCTTGCTCGACAGCTAGTCGATTGACAAACGCCCAAAAGCTTAACTGTATGTTAAACACATGAAGCTGCCTTAGACTGAATCAGACCCAGGGCTATTTTTGGGCAGGAACGCACAGGAACAGAGTTCCGGCTGGCTTCAGAGTTGGCCACACCCAAAATCTCTGCTACAGGCCTGTTCATAGCAGTACTATTTGCACTCAGTGATTAGCTTTTCAATAATATAATTCTGATACACACTGAAGCTCCCCTTTCTATTTTGTACTGTATACAAACACAACTGTCACAAGAGATGGGGTAAGCTCCAGTGCATGGTATGGAAGCTGCACCCAGTCCCAACTGGGAGGAGCCCCATTCTTAAGAGCTCTGGAGAAGCACGGCAGGTCCCACAGGCAATCTTAGTCACTATGCCCCTGGCCCACTTTCATTACTTTTGTTGCATACAAATGCCCAAAAGCTCAACAGGATGTTAAACACATGAAGCTGCCTTAGACTGAATCAGACCATCAAGGTCAGTGTTGTCTACTCAGAACGGCAGCGGCTCTCCAGGGTCTCAGGTCTTTTGCATCACCTCCTGCCTGGTGGTTTGTCACTGCGGATGCCGGGGATTGAATTTGGGACTTTCTGCATGCCAAGCAGGTGCTCTACCATTGGGCCACAGTTCCGTAGCTCATGGCGGGAATGATGAGATCATAAAGAGCTTTCTGCAAAATTCAAAAAGAAGTGAGACGCTCCCATGCTGCCTCCCTTCTTCAGAGAAGATAGACTCACGTAAGGGATGGTGACAACTTCGTGGCAAATTTCAGGCGGCATTTCCCTGTTATAATATCCACTGCACCTAGCGTAGTATCTTATTTCCGCCACTGAAATGGAGAGGATCACAATCGTAACGCCAGCTGCCACGGCACTCACAACATTCATTCCCAGCATGCCTTTCACCTGTGGGGAGAAAGCACGCCATGAATTCGATAAAGTCCCACTTCCTCCCATGGAGTCCCTGATCTCTCCAACCTGCACAGACGGGTGCCCCACTTCAGCCTCTCTCCGCTTGACTGTCCTTGCCCTTCAGGGCATGAACAAGGCAGACTCGGGACCCACGGCTAGCCATCTCAGAAACAGACATACTGGAAATGCAGAGGAAGGAACCAATCCCGAGCTCCGAATCAAAGGAGAACAGGATCAGTGCAAGAAAACTCCACATACGTTCAGGGGCTTCAAGGGGGGTAATCTAAGGCTTGCATCCTCCTTCTTGCTCACAAGAACATGGTGTTGTGTTGTTGTAAAAAAAAGAATTGCTATGCTACATAACCAAAACATCCCTGTAAGTTAGGCGTGTCATTGAGTTGCAGCTGACTCATGGCGGCCCTATGAGGTTCCATCTCACAGGGTTTTCAGGGCAGATGAAGACCCAAGGTGGTTCCCCATTGCCTTCCTCTGCATAACACTTCCGATCTTTGTTGGTGGTCTCCCATCCAAGCAATGACTCTGCTTAGCTTCCAGGGTCTGAGGAGATTGGGCTAGTCTGGCCTAATAGGGCTGCTACTGGCATTCCCATACAGAAGCAAAAATTTCCAAAAGATCTCAGTCAGTTTTTTTTTTATTGAATGCATAATTTGTTTTATTTTCTATCGGTTTTGAGGGGATACAGATTGCAAAGTATTACTGGGGAGGGGGGTATTTTTCATCCAATATGGATTAGATTTTCCATGGATGTACCTCTCACCCTGAGGATCATCCATATGAAACTTAAGGCAGTTAGTAAAAAAGGTCTCAGTGTTATAGGCAGGGAAAGTTAAATCACATTTCTAGTTCTAACGCCTTTGCTTTTCATCGAAATGAGGTTTGAAGAATTCATACCCTTTCCATAAAGATTCATTGCTGCCAAATTTCAGAGATGTAGAGAAATTTGTCTCTGTTTTAAAAGCCAAATAACTATCAGAAATAAAGATCTAAAGATCTAAATAAAGATCTTTGATTGCTCCTGATTCTTTTTTGATGCCTACCATAAATACTTTTGTTGACCCTTTGCTTTATCTGAGAGTATAAATGTTTCACCTCCTAACTATGTTAAGTGGACAAGCTGTGTTCTAGATGTTACAGCATCCATTTTTATTTTTAGATTCTCAACCCTTTCTTTTATAACACTGGAACATTCTTAGAGCTATTCCTGCAGTCTTGCAAGCTCCATTACCTGAAACCTACTGTCCCTCAAAATTCCATCTACACTGAAGGAAAGCAGAGACATTGGGCCTGCTGACATATTTCCTCTTGGAACCACTAGGAACAAAAATGAATTACATTTATTTCTTTTGTTTGTTTGTTTAAAACAAGAGAGCCTTCAAGAGAGACTCAGGTCAGGAACGCTGAAATGTGTCTTAAAACACATTATCCCAGCATCGGTTTCTTGTCCTTGTCGGCCAGTTCATGATGGTTGGTGCCATCATTTAAGTCCTAAATTGGTAGTTACCAGTGGTATCTTAGGTTTCTTGGCAACGACCACAGACAGAGATCCGGAAATGATGTACTGTGGAAAAGAGAAAAAGAGCTCAGAAGAAATAGAAAGGTATGAGCTTCTTGTATCCCTGCCTCTGTTCCTCCCGCCCACTAGATCGGAGGTATCTAGGACTGGAAATCATTTGGTCATGTGGCAGAGGACCCAGGGTCCAAAAATGGAGCTGCATCCAGTCCTTGAATTCCAAAGATTCATCAAACCATGCTAGGTTATCTACATTATGGGGCACAGAAGATCTCATGATGAATCCCAGGACATAACTGAAAAAAGGAAGGCATGCATTTCTGGAAGTTCTACCCTAAGGATAAGTTCTGAAAAGCAATCATCTATTGTATCATAAAAAATTCCCCTTACCACAATCCCTCTGTTAATTGCAGCCATAGATATACTCCCTGGGAAAGACTGTCTAGTTCTTTGCCAAGTTCCTCCTCTCCTATCTAAGGGTGGAGTATAGGGATGCCCCCCTTATAACGTCTGTCCACTCTCCTAGGATATCTTGAGATGTCCCTGTGCTAGGGGAATTTCGAGATTTGATGCGAGCAAAGAAAACCTACAGAATACTATACTCAGTCCGGAATTCCATTCTATGGGAAATTAAGCTCTCTTATCTTTAAGGAAAGCTTCTAGTTCCTTTATATGTGACAATGCATACTAAAATCGCATCAGTGCAGCTGAGCCATTATGCCTGTACTTCTTCTTCTTTTTTTGCTAAGCTTTAAACAGCCATTGGGCTAAACTTAAGATGGCTGGACTTTCCAAAGCGTGGACACTTGTGGGGTTAAAACCTCAAGGTCTGCTTCTTCCAAACCTGATGTGGAAAAATTACCAGGATTCCAGTCCAATATGGAGTTAGGATATGTACTTCACCATGATGGTTATTATTAGTCTCTTCTGCCATGACTATCACCACCCCAAAAGCTATTTCCAGGATGCCAATGCTGATCTGTGTGATCTGCGGAGACAGAGTCAAATGGCACGTTAGCATTATCTTACATTCTATAGCCAAATCAAGACATGGGCCACCATTTTCTCTCATGGAAGGTGAAGGACAGGAGTGCCGTACCCTCATGTGTGAGGCATGCCCAAGCCTCAGCAGTAATGCACAGACTGGAAAGCCTCCTTCCTCTAGTTATGCCCCCTTAGAGCGAGTTCAGTCCAAATTTCTCAGAGCAGTTCTTCAGGTCCCGAGGTGTGTATCGAATACACTGATCCGTCTAGAGATAGGTGCTATATAAATGGAAGCCAAAATTACTTTAGCTTCACTCCAGTATTGGCTTAAACTAAATTTCCATCCTCAGGGACTCACCCACTTGTTACTCTCAGACAACTTTCAATCCAAATGGCTGAGAGCAGTTCATAATAAATTATATGATCTTGGCTTTTCCCCCCAAGCGATTTTGAGTATACATTGGGATGTAGCAAAATCAGCCCTAAAACAGAGAATGATGGACATGGAGAGACAGACAGATCTCGGTAGATGTCCTAAGTTTAGAGCCCCAGATTCTGTCAAATATCGCTTGCAACCCATGTCCTATTTATCACAGCTTGATTCTCACAAGTTTAGGAAAACCTTCACATTAGCCAGATGTGAGGCTTTCCCCTCTGTGATGCTTGAGGGCAGATTCAAAAGGATCCCTACTGAATATAGACTTTGTCGATGCGGCTCAGGAGAGATAGAAACTATTGAGCACATGATGCTCAGATGTAACTGGTATAACAAGATCCGTGACAAATATATTACTCCTCTTATAACAGATATGGTGGGACAATCAGGTGCTGAGCAATGTAACCGATTGTTAATTGATGGGAACCGGACAATTACCAAAACTGTGGCAAAATTTTGGGTAGCATGCTACTGCATCCGAAATACACGATCAAATATATAGTTGCCTAATAGTCTCTGTTTTATGTTCTTCTTTTACTTTATTACGCTCAACTGTATTATTATAGAGTTTTATTTTACTGTCCTAAATTCAGTTATATTAATGTTATGATTGTTATATTTAAGCATGTGTGTTCTATGGCTTGTTGCCGTAATAAATGCCTGCCTGCCTGCCTGCCTGCCTGCCTGCCTGCCTGCCTGCCTGCCTGCCTGACTGGAAAGCCAATCGTTTCCAGGCTGTGGGAAGAGAGGTTGGTCCCATGGGGGGGCAGGGTCCAAATCTGCAAATGGAGCATCTTTCTAGGCATTTTCCAAGGAGATCAGGGAAGCCAAGACTGTCTCTCCCACCACCATTTTGGCTTCACAAAGAACCCTATCCAAGAGGTTAGGCTGAGATGGTGGGACTGGCCCAAAGTCACCCAGTGATGGGGGATGCAGACCAGGGTCAACTAGGCCCTGCTCTGACGTTCTAACCACCTTTGCTGTGATTCACAGCCAATATATTAATCTCTCACACAGTCATTTCTGTTAAAAGGCCAGCAATGAGTAGAGACTTCTAAACCCAATGGCAGTGATGCTTAGAAGGTGCCTTAGTCGTCAATACAAGAACCAAACAGAGGTGATTCGTCATTGCCTGCCTCTGCATAGCTACCCTGGACTTCCTTGGTGGTCTCCCATCCACCTATTAACCAGGGCTGACCCTGCTTAGCTTTTGAGATACAAGGAGATTGAGCTAGCCTGAGCCATCCAGATCAGGGTAATATGATAGGTTGGCCCAACAAGGTCATCTCACCTCAATATTTGAAACACAGAAAGCTGCCCACAGTTTTGTTGGTTGAACGTAACTGAGGAGGCAACATCTGTAGCAGAGACAAGGACCTCAGCTCAGCCCCACGGCTCTGCTCTTCCTTGAGGGGTAAGGCCACGGCTCAGTGGGAGAGCATCTCAGGGTTGGCAGGCTTTAGGTGGTGGCTGGAGATGTCCTGGGACAAGATGCAGCCAAATGGCACAAATGGCTGGCACACCACTTGGAACACCACTTGGAGAGATCGCCTAGGCCTTCTGGAGTCTCAAGTTCAAACCTTCCCTTGACCATGACCCTGGGACAGGGCTTTAAAAAAAAAGAGGTGGCAAAACTCTCCAGAGGGAAATGAAGTTTTCATTCTGTATACTGAAAACTCATGGCCTTTTAAATGTTTTTAAAAGAACGTTGTCAAAGAGGTTCCGGAACTCCGTTCCAGCATGATCCCCCGGGAATTGTTCCCCTCAGCCTAACTTATGAAAATAAAAGGGAAGAACCATAGACAACATGCTGAGCTATGGGAGGAAGGAGGAGATTAAACTGTTACATGATTCAATGTAATTTCATTTTATGTCAGTGTCAGGGACAGGTACAAAACTCATGCAGAGATGCAACAGGCAGCTTTCTCAGACAGCACGTAATTCTGCTGCGTGTTTACATCAGGGGTAATTAAATGATCCCCTTTCACCTGAAGCAGGGATGCCCACATAGGAGGCAGGAACAGAGACGTTAGTCATACAGAGACATGACAGGCACTTCCTGAGTGAGGGAAGGCACCTGCGTTTAAGTAATGATCACATGCTACAACTTTCCCCATGCTCCATACTTACCCCCAGGGCCATTGGTTCACCCCTATACAAATTCTTCAGTGGCCGTGGCACAGAAGGCCGTATTATGCTGTTTGAGATGGACTCCAGTGTCGCTGGATTGTTTAGGTCCATAGTGACTAGCAAGAAGGTTACAGTGGGAATTAGGGTCTGGAACAGATGCTTGGATTCAGAAGAGCTGAAGGAGAGGGAGAAATAGAGAGGAGAGACAGAGAGACATGACAATAAATATTTTCAAGTTGGATCCACTTCTTGTTTTGGAGTCACAAGGCAGGTGAGAAAGCAGTCTGGCAGCCACAGAGAGGACATATTTTTGTTAATTGGTCTGGACTAAGCAGCATTTGCTTGGCACAGTTATGAGTTCCGTCTGGAATTCTCGTTGCATCCCTTCCTCCCAGCAGCCCCTTTTTCCACTCTGTGCATAACACCAGGAGCTGGGAGCTGATAGAGTGCAAGAGACACCCTAACACACTCTGGCGTTCTGCGTGAATCAGTGGGTGGACCGATTGGTCCCACAGGCAGAATCCTTCACTTGACAAAGATGTGTTGGAACATCAAGGTTTCCCAACTCCAGATGGGGAAATTCCTGGAGGCTTGGGCATGGAGCCTGGGGAGGGTTTGGTTTGGGGAGGGGGCCTCCGTGGAGTGTAAGGCCGTAGATTCCCCTCTCCATTCCCCTGTAGTCTGGAGATCAGTTGTAATTCCAGGGGAACTCCAGGCCCCTGCTGGAGATTGGTAACCCTTGATAAAGCCCTTCTTTCTTCATTTTCCTGGATGTGGCCACCACCTCTAAGGGGCGTGTTTGTTCACTGCCCGTTCACCGGACAGCTTTACCCCCCACCGATGTTCCCTCTAAGCTGTGGAGTCTTGTGAGCAAAAAATGTACTGTGTGAGCTACTGGCATTAAAGTTGTGAGTGAGCAATTTGGCTACTGCATAAGTTAGTTTGCTCTGGAGCCATCCTTCCTGAGCGAAGACAAAAATCTGTGAGCTGGAGGCTAAAAAACTGTGAGCTAGCTCACACTAACTCAGCTGAGAGGGAACACTGCCCCCCCCACCTCCCAAACACTCCATGCTGGTCAGTGAAGTCCATGGGTTCTGGATGATGTTGCAGGAAGAAGGGCTCAGATTTTACCAGACAGAGGAACAGAGAGTCTTGGCTGCACATCTAATGTTGCTTCGAGGGCATTAGGAGAACTGGTCTGTGGTCAAAGGCACAGCTGTCTCCTTCCGCTTTCTGAGAAACCCAGATGGCACCTGCTTCCTCAAAGGGTGGGTCCTCTCTTGCGCCACCAAAATGCCTCCCAGCTTGAACCGGTTTTCAGCAGCAGGCAAAAATTGGGCATGTGAGGCAGAGAGAGGCATTGCGCCCTGCACACAGACCTTTCGTGGCCCCCATGTGATAGGGTTGCCAACCTCCAGGTGTGTCCCGGAGTTCTCCTGGAATTACAACTGCTCTTCAGACAACAGAGATCAGTTCCCCCTGGAGGTAATGGCAGCTTGAGAGGGTGGACTCCATGGCATCGTACCCCTGCCGAGTAGGGTTGCCAACATCCAGGTGGTCGCTGGAGGTCTTCCAGGACTACATCTGCTCTCCCGGTGACTGAGATCAATTCAGATGGAGAATAGGCCACTTTGGAAGGTAGACTAGATGGCACTAGAGACCGTAGCGATGTCCTTCCATCCCCCAAACCCCGCCCCACTTTGGCTCCGCCCCCAAATCTCCGGGAACTTCCCAACCCGGAGTTGCTGACCTGTGGGCCGGGGGAGGGGTGGCCTAGAGCGACCACGGGTTCGATCCCTCAAGGCTCTTCTGATGTTCTTCTTAATGGCCAAATCACTCCAGGCTCGGAAATCTCTTCTCTTGAGGGCGGAGGCTCTCTCGGCCCCGGCTGCATAAACCGCACAGCAGCCCCCCTCCCACCTCCGGACTCACCCTTCTCCGCAGGCCCCGCAGGAGCAGATCCGGGGCGAAAATCCTCCTCCTTAAAAGGTGGTTCTGATCCTGCGGAAGATCCCGGCTGGGCGAGCGGAACCGTCCGCGGGAAGCAGAGATGGGCTCTCGTCGAGCTCTCGCAGGGGTGGGGCGGGGCGGGGGCACCGTCTCGCAACCCAGGCGCTCCAGGGCTCAGTCCTCGTGGGGACTCTGGGCGTAACTCCAGTCCAGACGCCCCGGGGGTGGGGGGAGCAGAGGAGGCGCTCCGAGGACGTTGACCGCTGGAGGGCACCGCAGCGCCCAAACTGAACTTGGCTGGACGGGGGAGATCTCGGTCTAAGACCACCAAATTCGCTTGTCACTTTCACTGTCCCCAGTCTAGGGGACGTGTGGGAGGGGACGGGGGACATCCCCCCCAGGAGGGCGCACCCCTCCCTCCCTCTCAACTGTCACTAGCTGGCGGCAGGAAGAAGCCCCCCAAAATCGAGGGAAGTTCAACTAAGGGGAGTTCAACTAACCAGAACTCCCAGAATTATAATGTGCCTTGATTCCCATTCAAAGGCATGTTGATACAGAGAACGATGGCTCCCAAAGTGTGTTTGTTTGGAAAGGGTATACATTTACTTATAAAATTAAGCAGTTGCTTTTTCTGGATTATTTTCAAACATACTAGTGCAAACAACGGAAGACAGGAGGGCCTGGCGTGATGTGGTCCATGGGGTCGCGAAGTGTCGGACTCGACTGTGCGACTGGACGACGACAACAAAAACAAACATTAGCCTTTACAAAACATGAGAAGACAGAATTAGCTGGGGAACAAGGGTTGAAAGGTGGGACTTGCCCCTGCACACACCCATACAGATCCTTGGAATGAGAAGGGACAGGATTTCTTCTGGCAGCCAGGGGTATACCTATACTTCTAGAAGGAAGGCTCTAGATAGCAGCATAACACAGGGCTTTTCCATTCCAGAAAACCCATGCAGTTAAGAAGCTCAGCAGCAGCAGCAAATACCCAGGGTGGAAAAGTCCTAAATAATAATATAATAATTTAAAAAAACCAAGCTAAGCTGTTTACAAGAAATCTCAGACAACAAACTTAAGATTTGTACCTGGTCTTTTTAAAGTTGCAGTGCAAAGTATTGTATTTACTCAAAAAGAAGACTGTGGTTTTTTCACATCAAGAAAAAGAGTGGTTCATCTTACTTGTGCATTCAAGTTACAAGTTTATTAACTTTTGCTGTCAAGTCACAGCAGACTGAGGGAGACCCCATGTGCCATTGGCTGCCCCAGACGTCTTAGTGGCTTCCCATCCAAATACTAAACCAGAGCTGACCCTGCTTGGCTTCCAAGATCTGATGAGACCAGGCGATCCAGGTCAGGGCATGTTATACTGCATACAACATTTCTTTTTTGCAGGGGGCCGTCTTAAATTCAAGGTTGTCTTGTTTTGGGCAGGGCCGGCTCCAGGGTTTTTTGTACTCTAGGCGAGACCACCTTGTGGTGCGCGCCCACCAATTATGGGGTTGCCAACCTCCAGGCAGGGCCTGGAGAGAAGGAAGTCCAGCTGCTGAGCGCGTGCCACACATACACACACACACACAGAGTGGATCAGACTACCTCGGGAGGTGGTGGATGCTCCTGAATTCCAGGTATTTCCCAACCTGGAGCTGGCAACCGTGCACAGAAACTCTGTCCATTCTTTGCTTTGATGCGGAGAGAGCGTGCACGCAGTTGGGCTTGCTGAATGTCTCTAACCTGATCTAACCTAGTGGCCACCACTGCATCCAGTGATGGTGAGTTCCGCAGGTTACTGATGCCACGGGAGAAGAAGCCCGTTCCAATCCTAATCCACTGCCAGTCAACTGCAGGGGGTGCCTCATCATCTGCCAGTCCTAAGGGGCGGATTCAAACAGTGCTGCAAAAGATCTCTGCTGTGCATTGCACCTGATGTCAATTTCTTTCCAATTTCCTGGCGGGGGGGCTGAGGCTGGGCCAGAGGCATTGCTAAGTCATTAAAAGAACTGGGACCCAATGACATCACCACCCCGGAGGAGGGAGAATGTTTCGCCCCACCCCACCCCCGGTGGGAGCACATGCCTGCCTTTCCAAAGGGGCCCGGCTGTCTTCAGAGGAAGTAGCTGGGCGGGAAGGGGCAGCGGACTCCGCTCGGAGACCTCGGGCTGGCTCCATGGAGCCAGGAGGCGGGGAGCATCTGAGGATTCTGGAGAAAGCCCAGCGCTTTCTTCAGAGGAGGGCGCTGGGGGGGAAGAAGGGACTAAAGGAGGCACTGCTCGGAAACCTCGGAGGCTCTCCACCGGTCCCCCGGCTTTTGCCGGGGGCAGTTTGGCACCCTTTGGCACTGACTGGCTGGTTCTAGGGCGCCAAACTGCACCCGGCCCCGCCCCCACCAAAAGCCGTGCATCTCCCTGACCACCCTTGCCACCTCTTTCTCCCAGAGTCCGGCAAGCAGCGCTTGCTGGACTCGGGGAGAAAGAGGCGGCGGCGGCAGCAGTCAGGGAGATACAGGGCTTTTGGCAGGGGCTTGGGAGCCGGTTTGGCGCCCTCAGGGCCGGCCCGCGCTCTAGGCGAATGCCTAGTTCACCTAGCGGGTGAGCCGGCCCTGGTTTTGGGTACGTACCGTAGTGATTTGAATCAGGTCCAGCCAATTGAAAATGCAGAAAGAGGCAGTCATCTGGGTGGGTGGAGGACTTAGACAACGCTTTTTTTTAAAAAAAACTTTTGAAAGATTTTTATTGAGTATTATAAAAAGGAAAAGGAGGATGGGGTACAAAGGGTAAAAGGGAAAGGATTAGTAAAAGGGAAAGGATTACAAAATTAAAAATATGATACATTTATTTCTACATACACTAATACATTATTAATTCTACTTATACCTTCAGATGATTCTTTATATTTTATATCTGCATAAAGCCAAGTTGCTTCCTAAACATTTTGCCACTTCCTAAAAAAATATTATGATATCTTACTATCTTATTGATTTTGATAGAGCATTCCAAATTAGTTAATCGTATATAAATTATATTACTTTCATAGCTATGGATTCTCATATTCAAGCTTTTATAATCTCTTAATCATGTAACACAAAGCTACGCCTTACTAATACAATTATAGAATCCTAGTGTCCTACCGCTCATAAGTAGCCATTCTATAATTACAACATTCTAAAAATAATATTTTAAAACACATCTGCCTAAAAGACAGACATACCTAAATCTAAAACACATTTCTTACAAATTTTCATATAACTACTAATGTTATTTATCATTAAGATTTTCTAAAATAACACATACAAATGTCTTGTGGCTAATATTTCTTTAACATTTAATTTTAATACCAATTCTTCTCAAATTTTGTCTTCTTGGATCTCCTTTACACTATTACAAAAATACTTGGGTTATCTTAAAATCACATTACAAGGTTTTGAACTTTCCAAAAGACTAGATAATAACTACTTTGTAATATATATTTCTCTTAACATTTAATTTTAAGTTCCAATTTCCCTTAGGTTTTATATCATTGAGTCTCATTAAATATCCTTTAAAATTCTAAAATAAATCTCTTATGAAGGTCTCATCTGGGTCCGTGGAGTTAGACAACGCTTTTAAGAAGTTGGCAGAGGAGGAGCGCTTGCCTCCTCAGTGTTCTGAAAAATCACTATAGTCTGAAAAACAAGGACCCCCCCCAAAAAAGAAAGAGATGAGACAGAGAGTATGAAGACTCAGACCTGGTTTCTACACCATTTAGAGTAGCAATACATTTACTGCCTCCTTGGTTAACAAGAAATCCAGAGAGAGGGCAGGAAATTATTTATTTGCAGTATGTTTCTCGCTGAGACTCAAAGCTGACTGCAAAGTTCACTGGGGTAAAGAAAACGGTGTAAGATGCTGTAAGAACTCCACAACATCCAGTACCAAGCCAGAACTTTATTAGAACATAAGCTAGTCCTGGTCTAGGCCCTGCGTAGGATTACCAGTCTCCAGGTAGTAGCCACTGATCCAAGCCATTTAAACCCTGCTTTCAGCTCCCATGGCTTTTCACGGGGAGCACAGAGCACAGTTTAAATGGCTCCAAGCCATTTAATGGATCCGAGCCATTTAAATGGCCCTGCTTTCTGCTCACTGCAAAAAGCTGGGGGAAGCAGAAAGCAGGATTGAAATGTCTCAGAGCCATTTAAACCAGGGGTGTCAAACATAAGGCCCGGGGGCCGGATCAGGCCTGCCCAGGGCTTTTATGCAGCCCACAAGCAACTGATGCAAGGGAGGAAATGCTGGGGGGAGTAGGCGGAGCCCCTCCATTGTGGCTTCAGCATGGCGGAACAACCTTGTCTCAGCAGTCAAGCATCATGGGAGCATCTGCCCAGTGCTGCACTGCTGGCTCTCCAATCTGCCTAGGTGGATTTTCCTCTGTCCCCCCCCCCCAGCCAATGGGGCCTCGCAGTGAGGATACACCAACTCAGAGCTTATCAGCTGCTGTCCTTTATACAGTTTTTATCTCCAGTACCTGGCATGATGTTTTATGGCACACATGGCCCGACCCAGGCATTTATGTAAGATCTGGTCCGCATAACAAATGAGATTGATACCTCTGATTTAAACCAACAGCTGATAGGTGAGGAGAAGCCTCCCCACTGGCCCAGCTTTGGGCTCCCTCCAGGCCAGGGAGAGCTGCGGCCAGCAGAAAGAAAGGGGTGAAGGTCCTCCCATGGGGCATTTCATCCCCTTCTTCCTGCTGTTGTGGCTTGGAGCCATTTTGATTCCTGCTTTCTGCTCCCCACTGCTTTCACAGGGAGCAGAAAGCAGGGGGTTTATGTCAGAGTGTGAAGATATGATGTCAGATTCTGTGTTAGATTCTGCTCATCTAAGTGACAGCTAAGTGACAGCTGACAGTCCTTCAGGTCAGCAGTATTAGCTGGTACAAACCGGTTCTGACTGGCTTGGAGATAGCAGTATCAGAATGACTCAGCAGAGGGTTCTGATTGGCTGATGTAAATATATAAGTGTTCATTGTACAGTCCACTTTCTCTTCTGTGATATACTGGTGTATGGCGAAGCACCTTGTCGGTTGGTTTGATGACTGGTGTATACCTGCACCGCTTAACAGGACTTTTGTAAATAAAACCTTGTAAATATTCCTACCCACCAAACTGCTGTGGACATTGGACTGTTGGGGCTTGGCTCTGCACTACATGCAACTCTGCTCTGGTGTTAACCCACCAGCCACTAACACCACACCCCCTAACAGGGTTATGGGCCCAGTTCTATAAATGGCTCACAAACCTATACAAACCAGTTTAGTTTGCAAAGCAGCATAGCCATTCATGTACTTTTGTGATTCAGTTCATGGTTCAGCCACGAACCATGAACTAAGCCACAAAAATGAGGTTCATGCCCATCCCTACTGGTCTCCAGGTAAAAGAGATCAGTTCACCTGAACAAAATGGCCGCATTGTAAGGTGGATTCTATGGCATTGTAGCCTATTGAAGTTCCTCCCCTCATCAAAGCCCTGCTGTCTCCAGGCTCTACCCCCAAAATCTCCAGGAACTTCACAATCCAGAGTTGGCAACCCTAGGCTACCAAGGACAGAAGTGAAAAGTGACACTAAAGCAAAGGCTTTGACTCTAATGGCTCATGTTAAAACAACTCTACCCTATAATAATATCAACAAACAAACATCATTAGCAAATAAAAAACTAAATTTTGGAGGTGCCTCTTGTCTTACATTATGTTGAATGCAATCACTCTGTGGATGATAATGAAGTTTTTTGTCATCTTTAAATATAAGAGTAACTGTGGTGTCATTAGTGATGCACATATGGTGTTACTTAAGGAAGAAACGTTTTAAATTAAACACCCTAGCCCCCTCTGGATTGAATATGAGCACAGATTACTCATGTTTTTTGTAAATTGTTAAGGATGGTTATATTGTTATTGAATAAGCGTGCTGATTAGTCCCATTCTTTGTGATCGGTCAAGGATGGTCATACTCCTGAAGATTGATTGTTTGACATGTTTTGCTTGCAGTCCTCATTTTGTTTATATCTCTTTAAGATTGTCTGAAGATTGTGTTCAAGTGTTCTGTGTTAAGGTGTATTGATTTGGTATTGGCATGTTTTGGTAGAGTTCTAAGAGACCTAATTCTTTGACCTTTGCGCTTGTAAGAAAATTTAAGGATTGTTTGGTCAGTTAATACAGATACACTGTCATGCCTGTACCCGACCCAGCGCCTGGGAGCTCTGAAACTGAGGACTCCGTGCCTTTAACATTATCAGAAGCAGGAGAGTCCTCACCAAACCTAAGTGCCAGGGAGGATGAACGCCAAACCCCAGGACAGTTTGCACCTGAAGCTGATCAGGCAATGCCTGGCCCCAGCAACACGCCACCCGATTCTCCGCCACCTGTTGACCGGCTGAGGAATCAGAGTCGCCGGGATTTGGCAACCAGGCGCAAGGAGGCAGGCTTGCACGGTCAGCGATCATTAAGCCCAGATTACTAACAGAATCGAGGACTTCGCGAAGCCGTGCTAATGAGATAACGACCCAGCACACTATTTGAACAGACCGCTGGCTGCTAGCAAACTGTGCTGGCAAACTTGTTCGTTGGACCAGAAGCTCTGCACCTCTGACTTTGTCTAGCTCCTGCCTGCTTTTCCCGGTTCCTGACTCCAGTCTGCGTTTTGACGACCCCTCTGGCTCTTGATCCATGGCTACGCTTCCTGAATCCTGACTATGATACTGGCTTGCTTGGACTCTGACTATCGGTAACGTTTGACTAAGGCTTGGCTTTGTGTGCTTGGGACTTTTGCTCGGACTCTTTTGATCTCTCTGGCTTGACTCTTGGACTGGACTGTAAACTCTCCCTCTCTGCCTTGCCCCACGGGCCCTGTCGTGACATACACTTGAATTTTAGAATGAAATTTATTAATTATTATAGAATGGTTGTTGACTGTATTTTGTTCATAGGAACTTTTGCAATAATGGACATAAAGTTCAACGTTTGGAAGGAAACGGAATCACAGGCTGGCAGGCTCCATCAGACGGAACGCGGGTGTCCTCATATCGGTCTACTGTCCATCGTATGAAAACTGATACTATAAGGACAGGCTCTACGGCACAAAGCACTTTGTCTTCATTAAGAATTGGATTAGAATTGGACTTTTTAGTTGACCATTGGATGTACTTTCGGACTGCACTGTAATATGAACTCATTATGGATATTATGAAAAATGAATGGAATTATATGGATGATTTATATGGTAGAATAGTTATATGTATATTTAGTTATTCATTCACGGTAATTGTCCTAGTTGAGTCTCCAGGTGGTGGCTAGAGACCACCTGGAATTACAACTGGTCTCCAGGTTATAGAGTTCAGTTCCCATTGAGAAAGTGGCTGTTTTGGAAGGTGGACTCTAGGCTATTATGTCCTAGTGAGGTCCCTCCCCTCCCCAAATTCCATCTGTCCCAGGCTCCACCCTCCAAATCTCCAGGAACTTCCATACCCAGAGCTGGCAACCCTTGTGACCCCCCAACGTCTCCCCTAAACTATCTCTTCCCCCAAACAAAAGAGCCTGTTCCATCAATAGAAGAAATAATTTATAAACTACTGGAAACAGCAGAAATGGACAAATTAACTTTACAGTTGCAAGATAAAAAAGAAGAAATCTTTGAGAAGAACTGGTCAAGATTTTATTAATGCATTGAGGAATATCTCAGAAGATGTATAACGTAACTATTAAGATATAAGCTCTATACTTCAAATGGTTAAATTGGTTTAGGTGCATAAAAGAATGATTCTATTTATGTAAAATTTAAACAGTTATAATAAATGGTACACGTTCCGTGTTTGTTCTGTGTTAGGCTTTCTTTGTTTGTAGTTGTTGTTTCTCTTTCTCTTGTGTAGAAAACTAATAAAATCTTTAAACATGAAAAAAAGAACTGGAGTTTGAGATTTTGGTAAAGAGCAACTGGGTAGCAGGCTGAAGCTCCCAACCAGGCCCAAAGGAATAGGATTATATTTTTCAAGGCAGAAATATAAATCCTGTCCAGTTATTCAGGGAATTGGCACTGAGGCAGTCCCTGCTCTGATGTGAAAGGAAATCGTTATAGACTACTCAGGGGAAAGAAGAAACACTGTGATTTCAGAAAAGGGGAAAGAATTCGATCCATGAAAAAAGAGTGACCTTTCCAGAAAACCTGAACAGTTAATAGGAAACTACAAGGGGGGGACCCGCGATACTCGCGGGAGAGGGGGACCTCCACACCTATGAGGAAGAGGAGGAAGCAGCAGGAGGAGGTAAGTTCCCCCCCTATCCCGCCGGTTCCCCGTCTCCTCCACCCCCTGGCTCGATCTTCCCCAACCCCTGCCCTGGAGCGCACCCCCCTCCAGGTCTACCCACCCCTTCCCACTACATTGGTAGACCTGGCCTCCGGAGGCCAGGTCTACCCACCGCTTCCCACTGCATTGGTAAACCTGGCCTCCGGAGTCCAGGTCTACCCACCCCTTCCCATTGCATGGGTAGACCTGGCCTCCGAAGTCCAGGTCTACCCACCCCTTCCCATTGCATGGGTAGACCTGGTCTCCGGAGTCCAGGTCTACCCACCCCTTCCCATTGCATGGGTCCAGG